AGAGTTTTTCTCTGTGACAGAGGTCTGACCAAACCATGCCACCAAACAAAAGGATAAAACAGACTCAATAAAAGAAGTCTGTGTAAATGTAACAATTTAGAATAACTCATTTGAAGCTTATTTAGTTAATGAATGTTGTTACCTTTAATATATGTTATGTTTTGATGACAGAAACCACATTTCTGCAGAATGAGAAATCTTACTTTTAACATATTTTATTGTTATTTTGAACATTTTATTTGTTTTTATTATTTTAGAAGTACCGCTAATTAACGTGAATTAAGATTTTTAATAACTGAATATATTTAGAGGATGCAAAACTAAAAGATATAATGTTAAGATTTGATGTAAAGTAAAAAAAAGTATTTTCAGTTGTGAAAAATGTGTAGAAAAACATATCTCTTATGAAAGTGCACTCATCCTCCTTAGCACCTCTGACTCCTAGAACCAACAGATTTGATATTTTCTGTAATATATTCTGAAACATGTTGTGTTTTGACAGCCTTTTACACAGAAAACACAAAACAGTTTTTATGTCTCGTTGCATTAGACATGAGCTAATATTTGTGGACCTGGTGGGAACATTATGTGTCTATTTAACATTTTCACAACCTCAAAAAAATTCGTATCAATTTTGTATCAAAACTAAACTTAAATATGTTTGTTTAATTTTTAAACAGTAGCTACGTCTGATCTAGACGTATGATAAAGTTTTTCTTATTTACTGTAACCTGATTTTAGATTTGACAATATTTACTATCTAGAGATCTTTTAAACCTGCTATCATCAGAAAATTAAACATTCACTTTTCAAGCAGGTTGAAGGAGACATATTTTTAAAAACTGTGATTGGCTGACGAGATTTAGCTGAGAAAATGTGATCTGTGGATGTCAGGTGGTGGGCAGTGATTACCTTATGAATACTTATGTGTCTCATGCCTGTTTTCTCGCCCTGCTGCAGAAATGTAAATGAATATGTCTGAAACATCTATGAAACCCAATGACCCTCTGATCGTGTATGCATGTTTAATTTCCCCTAATTTTATGTTAACTCACAACTTCAAAAATAAGTTTGTGCTCATCCCACAGAGGCAGTGTGTCTGCCTTTTTCTTTGGAGGAAAACAAAGTCACATGACTGCCAAACAACCAACAACCTCGTTAAGTATGGATGACCTCCCGACCAGAAATGCAGTGCGCCCATCAAGCCCTCTGCAACCGAGGGGGCACGTGTCTCCTCAAATTGAACATTTTGAAATATGTATGCTCCATGTTGTGAGGCTCCCACTGTGTGCGCTTGGTTTTCCTGTGGATGTGACGGTGCTGGGTCTCATAAAACACAATGCACTCGAGATTCATTTCTCAGCTGCCCTGCTGTGACCTTGACAAGCTTCCACCAGATAATAATGTGTTGATCAAGGGTGTTGAGAGTTTCACGTCATAGGGAAGAAGGATGTCTTGATGCGCGGAAGTGGTTAACTATAAATAGAATCAAACAAGAACTGGATCAATTAATTATGAGCTCTGGATTCCCCCGCAGGGTCTTTGAGAAAGCCAAAGACGGGACGGACAACAGGAGACGACGTCCCTGTAAACACTGCCCTGCCACTGAAATGCACCATGGGGTTTCCAGAGTTTGCCCCTAGACTTTCTTAAGGTCTCTCTACAGTTTAATGACTGCTCTGTCAAACTCTATAAAGCGTCAAACTTAGCCTGAAGTAGACATAAATATGGTGTGAAGCAAAACAGGCCTTTACTATATGTTACTTTAAGCTTTAGTCCTATAACTAAAGCATAAAGTACTGTATGCCTAAAATTTACATAAAGTAGTTCAAACTTTAGTATATGTTGATTATATGTTTGTGCATGCAGTCAAGCACAAACATATAATCAGTATATGGATTTATATACCATATGTGCATTTCAGTCATCTCGAATTCCAACATCTAAATTACACACTAAAGTAAGCATCGCTGTTTGGCTTTTATTTTGTGCCTGAAATCATCGCTCCACATTCATAGTGAACAAAAACGATTTATGTTTATTTTCTCATACCTGAAAAAAGCGATTTGAATATGAAGTCCAGAAATGAGCTGGTGGGGTAGTCGCCATTGTATCATATGACAAAAATAGGAGTTTGGACGTTCTCCCTGCACCTCTGTGGGTTTTCTGCAGGTACTCCAGCTTGTTCACTCAGTCCAAAGAAATGCATGCTAGGTTAATTATAACCTGTGTTAACCTGTTAACCTGTGTTAGCACTGGGATGGACTGGCAGTCTCTCCACACCACTCTGCCTGTGTCAGCTGGAATAAGCTCCATGGGAACCTAGTATGATGAACCTAGACCCCATCCTTCTTAAAATATCAATGCACGCATCCATCCTCTGGTGCTTATCTAGGTTCAGATCGTGGGCACAGCAGTTTAAGTAGTGACCCAGAC